ACATGAGACTGCAGACAGAGAGTCTGGATTATATTTTTATTGCTAGTTTCAAAAGGAGGTTTAACAATAGCTGAACAAGAAATTCAAGGTTTGATACCCATTCATCAACTAATAATCTCACTTTTTACTGTTTTAATATAGTCTTTATTGAGTTCATTTTGATTTATAAGGTAACAGTGGGAATAAAGATGTTTCCATTTAAACCAGGAGTGCATTTCTTGTAATTCCTAAAAGCATTTTCAGTTGCACGCAAGTAAATACAATAAATGTTTTCAAGACAAGCCTATTTCTTCAGTGTAGATAGTAATATAATTTCAGATGAGGAAATATAATTTAAATAGTACATTTGATCAATATGACAGCAGCAGAGAGAAAAAGTGTAAGCAGATTTTAATCAATATAAACTTAGATCCCTAGACTATCCTTCAGTCTAGTTTTACTCAAATGTCTATTTTAAAATGCAATATTACAATTTAATACCATAAAGACACTAAGAACAATTTTTATATTTTCAAATCAGAATCCAGAGTGTTATTTGTCTGGTGTGTGGAAACAATGCCATATATCATCTGGCTTCCAGCATTTTAAGATTACAAACTTGGCATCATCACTTGGCTTTATAAGCTACAAATGCACCTAGGTTTTTAAATATAATAACAAATTTTGCCTTGTCTCTCCTTCAATCTCCTGGTCTTCTCATAAAAATGTGTGCTTGAAAGAAGATCTATTCTGGAAAAGACGGTCATTAGGAATGAGCATATTCTAACATCTGATTCTGTGTTTATCATGTTCCTGGTGTAGCAGTAATGGTGGTTAAGGACATGTCATTTTCTTTATTAACTGGAATAATACTTTTGAAGGGCAGCACTGACACAAACAGTAACACAGTGTCAAACACAGCAAAGTCCAACCTAGACAGCCATGGGCTCCAATTTCCATTCTGGGATCTTTAATGAGTGGCAGCCATGGCAGAGCAGAAGCACCAGCAGCAGATCCAGTACAGTTATTTGCAAGTGAGAAAAAGCATTTGTGTTTGCCTGTGTTGTGATCAGGCTAAGCCTATTGGCTTACACTCTGATGTCTGTGACAGCACATTTCCAGCATACCTGTGGAGTGGTCCATCCTCATTCCTTTTGTTCCTGTTCAGACACTTTGTACTCTTTCCATTCAAACTTTCCAGAAACAAATAAACTCCCTGGGAGCTGCCTCAGTTGTCTTTGCTGGAGATACACAAAGGCTGCAATCTGGAGCCAACTGTGGAGCACTTGACAGCAGATGTGGCACTGATAGCTTCTGCTAGGCCACTACTCTTCCTAGTTTGATGACTGGAAAAGATCAGCATCTTTGTGCCAGAGTACCCCAGAGAGCCTTTATCCTGCTAGACCTGGCATTGCTAATAGGGCAGAAGACTTCATTAAGCTGAAGATGCAATTCCTTTGCTGGCAAGAGGAAGTGAAATTGTGACATAGAGACACTTATAGATGCTTTACACCACTGGAGATTTTTTATTAGTAGAGCTGAATTGCTATTTTTCTTCTCTTCCATTTCCTTTTCTCCCCTTTCACAATTTCACCCTAGTGTGCGTATTATTTCTGGTGTTTTAATTCAGGACAATGAGCCAAAATAGAGCAAGTGTGATGCAGAGGGCACTGCATCAACTGGAGTTTTTCCTTGCCGTTGGTCTCTTTTGTTGTAAATTCTCTGTGTTTTGGAAAACCCCAGTAATTTTATAAGGGCGGTACTTGGTAGCATATCACATCATAAGGAACTCAGAACACAAGGAATAAATGTCTTCACAGGACATGCAATCTCTCTCCAGAGTCTTTGGGTTAGATCGCTGATGCCTGCAAAAGTTTGGAAATGGGATGTGAACAAGTAAGCTTCTTCCTTTTGAAATCATTCTGCTGGAGTCAGACACCTTCAGACTTACAGGCACCTGTTTTTGGAAACCGCCCCAATGGGAGAAGATAGGGGGAGAGGCAAAATGCTTTCTTCCAACCTCATGATGCAGTCCTGTTCTAGTGTTTTAGGGAATAATTCCTTCCAGTGCTTATCCAAAATAATAGGACATTGTACTCTTCAGAAAACAGAGACCTA